CCTTGGTGTTGTTACCTCTAAGTATCCTAATATTAAGGGTATAAATTTTGATCTTACTTGTGCCTTGGCACAAGCACCTTCTTACCCTGGGGTGGAACATGTGGCCGGAGATATGTTTGTGGAAGTTCCAAAGGGAGATGCCATGATCTTGAAAGTAAGTTCAACAACTTTCATAGTTAACAAATTTTGTTCAAGTGCATGTATGTATTACTTTGTACTTATTTTTGGGGTTTTATTTATTTTACAGCGTATACTTCATGATTGGACTGACGAAGACTGCGTAAAAATTCTTAAAAACTGTTGGAAATCACTTCCTGAAAATGGCAAAGTGGTCGTGATAGAGCTAGTGACTCCTGAAAATGCTGAGAGTGGAGACATAAACTCGAACATTGCATTTGATATGGACATGTTGATGTTCACACAATGTTCGGGTGGAAAAGAGAGGTCTCGAGCTGAGTTTGAAGCTTTAGCGGTGGAATCAGGCTTCACCCATTGCAAATTCGTTTGTCAGGCTTATCACTGTTGGATTATTGAGTTCTGTAAAGAAAATGTTTAAAATCCAAAACTAAAACTCATGGTTAATTGCTAATTCAATCTATGTTCCAATTATTTTTCTTGATATAATACAGCTGAAGCAATAAAAGTGTTTGGTTTACGATTGTCCTACTTTGTAAGAACTTGTTTTAATTAATTGAATTCAGATTTTCCCACCTTTTATTCCATAACCATCAATCAAAATAGACTTTTTGTCAACAATAAAAATATTATTTGAGATAATTTATATAAAATAATATTTTCTTATTAGTACATAATAAAAAAACCAAATGTTACTAAACTGATGATTTGAAAATGTTTAAACGGCGGACTTTAGTGAATTTAGGTAATTTGAAAACATTTTATGTGAAATTTCTTAGTTAAATAAAATAATTCAAATCCCATGTTCTAAATGGGATTCTAATTTCCAAAATAAAATTATTAAAAAAAACTGCTCTAACAATCAGAAGCTCATAATATTTCATTTTCCCTCATTAATGCTGCCCTTAATCTATAAGATAAAAAACTAAAAACGATTAGACAGAAATAAAAGCGGAATCCAAGCAGAAGCTGACGAAAAAACACGTGGCGAATATAGATGTACGACCATTCAGACAACAACTAAACTTAAAAGAAACTAAAAAAGAAAAATTGGAAGAAGAAAAGAAAAGGAGCGGTTGAGTTGAAATAGCCGGCGCGTACTTTGTCAAAGTAACGCGCGTGGTGTGTGTTTTTCGCTTATCTTCCGTTGTGATCTGAGTGTTGAGGTCAAGAGATCGTTGATCGGATAATAAAAATGGTGAAGGAGACGGAGTATTACGATGTCCTCGGCGTTAGCCCCACCGCTACAGAGGCTCAGATTAAGAAAGCTTACTACATCAAGGTCATTTCTCTCTCTCTCTTTTTTTTTCAAATCGAATCTCTGATTATTCCGATGTAGATTCGAATCTGAGGAGAGACTCGGGTTTTGAGTTAGAGGATGAGTATAAGATTATTGTTGCCCTCTGTGAAGGGTTGAATCCGATGAGTATAAGCTTAAGAGCTCAAGTTTCTATGGCTCTCTAATGCTTTTAGGTTAATTGAGTTAGATTAGGAAATGCTGATTGTTTTGGCTTGTTTGTTTTTTTACAGGCACGTCAAGTACATCCAGATAAAAATCCCAATGATCCTCAGGCTGCTCATAATTTCCAGGCAAGTTTAGACTTTGAGTCATAAGATTTGACATAGAGGATGATGTCTCGGTATTGTGTATTATATGCTTTAACTATGCTAACTTGTGCATGAGCATTGGGCTCTTCTTCAAGATTCATGGGCTTTGTAGTCTCATCTCGTTGTTTGTTGAGCACATTGAAAGGAAGAGAATTTTTCATCTTAGGATATAAATTAGTGATTTGGCAACGTAAGAGTGGAGTTGTGATTCCTCTTGTGTTTGCTTGGTCTAGTTTTTATCAAACTCACCATCAGTACTAAGAATGGCATAAGTTTTGAGGATAATCAGATCTCCAAAAGATTAGCTTAGTATGATAATGTTTTCAGTATTCGTTGTCTACTTGTTTTCTTTGGTGTATCTTTTTGGATGAGTTTTTTTTGAAAAGGTGAGTTGTTATACAGGTGTTGGGAGAGGCCTACCAAGTGCTAAGTGATCCAGGTCAACGTCAGGCATATGACACATCTGGGAAGGCAGGGATTTCAACGTTAGTATCTTTTCTTGCTCTTTCTTTTGATAGTTTTCCATCGGTGATTTGCTGTTTGCATCATTGGAGTTTGGTGACATGGACTGGATCTTCATCGTGTTGCCAAAGAATTTGTTGGTTTCCCCAGTTCTTACTTGTGGTGTTCATTATTGCAGTGAGATCATTGATCCAGCGGCAATATTTGCAATGCTTTTTGGGAGTGAACTTTTTGAAGAATACATAGGGCAGCTTGCTATGGCATCAATGGCTTCACTTGATATCCTCTCTGAAGGGGATCAGATTGATACTAAAAAGATCATCGAAAAAATGAGGGTATTCTTACCATCTATTCCTGCTTAAGAAAAGCCGTCATAATTTGCTAAGCATGTTTGTTTGTTTTTTTTTGGTTTCAGGCTGTTCAGAAAGAACGAGAAGACAAGCTTGCGCAGATTCTTAAGGACCGCCTCAACCTATATGTGACGAACAAAGACGAATTTATCAGCAATGCTGAGGCTGAAGTTACACGACTCTCAAATGCAGGTAACATGTTCTGTAGCATATTGTTCCTCTCTCAATAAATGCCATTTCTGCTATTAAAAAGTAAGACATACCTCCTTTTGTATCTATTCTTCAACAGCATATGGTGTGGAAATGTTGAACACAATCGGATATATATATGTAAGACAAGCGGCGAAAGAGCTGGGGAAGAAAGCTATATATCTCGGGGTACCATTTGTTGCTGAATGGTTTAGGACGAAAGGTCATTTCATCAAATCCCAAGTAACAGCTGCAACAGGTTAGTGACTTAGGAAGAAACACCTCATCAAGATCATGTTCATGTTAGGGCATAAGTTGTAGAATGGTTACTTTGAACATTTAAGTCAATCACTGAAAACAAACCCCAAGAATACTTTCCTAACTTTCTAGAACTTAGTGACTCTCCTCTCTTTGGGAGAAACATGTAGTGACTTTTCTTTTTCTTGTTGTTTTCTATCGTCCTAGGCGCATATGCTTTATTCCAGCTGCAAGAGGAAATGAAAAGACAGCTAAGTGCTGAAGGCAATTATACTGAGAAGGAACTAGAGGAGTACATGAAGTCCCATAAGAAAGTGATGATTGATTCTTTGTGGAAACTCAATGTTGCTGATATTGAAAACACTCTCTCCCGTGTTTGTGAGCTGGTATGTGTAGCTATAACAGCTCCTTATTTGGCTGCTTTAGCATCTTGGTCCAATTTCTTTGTTGCAACTACTTTATGATATTTTCTTTGTCTCAGGTTCTTCAAGATCCCACTGCCAAGAGAGAAGAGCTTCGTGCAAGGGCAAAGGGATTAAAAACTTTGGGAAAGATCTTCCAGGTTTATTCTTTTTCATATGGTTCATCGCGTATTACTTCAAAATATTGTACTGATTAAAAAACTATTTTAACTTTCTGGTCATATAGAAGAACAAGTTGACCAGTGAGAGTGATCCTTTAGTAAGGGCCGAGCTTCACAAACTAAACGCAAATGGTCAAGACCGTGATGCATCCACCTCACCAAATTCCGATGAAGCATCTCATTCTACATATGGGCCTCAGGTACATCTCTGTCCTCTTCTTTTTCCACTCCATCTACTTGCTACGCACACCAACTGCATCTAGCTTAGCATATTTCATATCAAGCAGTGTTCACACATCGTGAGAAACAGCTCCCTGTTTGTATTGTATAGAGATTAAAGAATGACCCGTAGATGTCAAAATGATGTATTGTATCAATAGTTGTTTATGTTATGATTTATTTATGAGACAATACCGAATATGTTGACTCTTAGTCTCTTACACATATTGCTCTAAATGCTTGGAAAGCAGCAGTGTAATTGCCACTCATGAAATGCAATTTAATGTAGGAACCACAAAGCCCTTATGTGGAAGCACCGAAGCTTGGAGATGAGCAATTCGACCATTACTTCCCAAGGCCCGCACCGCCTCCAGGAGCACAAAGACACTCTTAAAACTTGCAAAGGAATGATGATTCAGATAAGAGATTACGAGAGGTAATCTCCCTTTTGTGCTATATATATAATATTTACAAATTTCAAGCCTTTATTATGTATGCATTTTGATATATTTGCAGACATTATATGTAATTCTTGTTATTGTTAGTAGAAGAAATGATTGGATGTTTGAAAAAGCACATGAAATCTCATCTTTGGGTATCTATAATGGTTTTGTTTTACATTTTAAAAATATGTCTATGATGATGCACATGAAAATACATCTATGAGATCATGTGTTGTTGATTCTTATTCTGATTACTATATGAAGAATCCTTAGAGAAAGAGAACAAAGCACATAAAAAATATGCAATGACCTTTTTTAAGAAATATTTTGCTACTAGAGGTTTTGGTATCGATCAGATATTTTCTAATTATGATTCGGATCTAGATTAGTTCGGATATCTGTTTTCTAAAAAACATGTAATTCTAATTAACAAACTGATTTGAGAAACATTTATCATAGAAACTGATTCACCATCTAACGAAGTAGTTCAGTTGTCGACGTTAAACTTATGAAAATTAAAGGCATGAACGTACGTAACGAGAAGATGAAATTATTAATAAACATATGAAACGAATTTGGTTAGTTAATGAATTAATTAAAATAAGTTCCAATAACGGAAGCATGTGGTCAAATTACCGTAAAACGACAGGCGTCAACCATTTAATTATGTTTTAACTGCGAAAGAAATTAATTAAATTATAAATATTCAGAAAAGTGTCAAGGAAAGGCATCAATGGCAGATGCTTACTTGTTATTATAACCCAGTCACACCACCAGAGTGAAGAATAGCCACTGGAACGAAGAAGATAGACATTGAAACGCCCTCTCCAGATCTCATCATCATCTTCCTCTTTCTGTTTACAGATAAATAGAGATACAGATCTCGTGAAAGCTCTCTTGATCCAAATCAAAATCAAAAAATGGAGAAGGCAGAGAGCGAGAAGAAGGCATCATCCGTATCAAACGTAGGCGCATGGGCAATGAACGTCACAAGCTCCGTCGGAATCATCATGGCTAATAAACAGCTCATGTCCTCCTCTGGCTTCGCCTTCACCTTCGGTTCCCTCTCCTCTCTCTCTCCCTAACAACCTCATTTAGATCCCTCTCTCTAATTGTTTTTTTGTTGTTTTGCCACATCAGCAACAACTCTCACAGGCTTCCACTTCGCACTAACCGCACTGGTCGGCCTCGTCTCAAACGCCACAGGCTTATCAGCATCAAAACACGTCCCTCTCTGGGAGCTTCTCTGGTTCTCCCTCGTCGCTAACGTCTCCATCGCCGCTATGAATTTTAGTCTCATGCTGAACTCTGTTGGCTTCTACCAGGTTCTCTTTTTTTTTGCATTTACTAATTAAATCTCTTTTTTTTCCTGATTTTGTCTTTTAATTTATAGATATCGAAATTGAGTATGATACCGGTAGTGTGTGTGATGGAATGGATTCTACATAATAAGCAATACTCGAGAGAAGTCAAGGCTTCTGTTATGGTTGTCGTTGTTGGAGTTGGGATTTGTACTGTTACTGATGTTAAGGTTAATGCTAAAGGTTTCATCTGTGCTTGTACTGCCGTTTTCTCCACCTCTCTGCAACAGATCGTAAGTGCATTCTGATTACTCAACAAAAGTTTAACACTTTTTAATATGATAAGTAGCAACTTGGCTGTTACAAGTTGTCTTGCGTGTTAGCTTTAAGTAGAATAAGCTGACATATGTTCACAAACTGCCAATATATCATTTAGTGTTTGTTATCTATTGTTTAGGGTAATGGGAGATATGATGTTATAGTACCTTTTAACTCCTTTATCTTAAGTTTTTAACCTTGAAATATCTCTTCTTTATGATGATGTTCTTGTGATTCTGATATTTTAAATTATCTCTTTGGAACACAGTCAATAGGTTCACTGCAGAAGAAATACTCAATTGGATCTTTCGAGTTGCTCAGCAAGACAGCTCCAATCCAAGCTCTTTCACTCCTTATTTTTGGTCCGTTTGTTGACTATTTCTTGAGCGGTAGATTCATTACTACTTACAAGATGACTTACGGTGCCATTGTAAGTATCTAAACGTTTTACTTTGCTTCGTTCAAGTTATTATCTAACAGTTGATAACCATCATCACACACATATATGCAGTTCTGCATTCTTCTCTCTTGTGCATTGGCGGTTTTTTGCAACATAAGCCAGTATCTCTGCATCGGGAGATTCTCTGCTACCTCATTTCAAGTATTGGGACACATGAAAACAGTTTGTGTCCTTACCTTGGGATGGCTTATCTTTGACTCGGAGATGACGGTCAAGAACATAGCAGGGATGATCTTAGCGGTGGTGGGAATGGTGATTTACAGTTGGGCTGTGGAGTTGGAGAAACAGAGGAAGACGAAAGTGACGCCGCATGGTAAGAACAGTATGACGGAAGATGAGATTAGGCTTCTCAAAGAAGGATTAGAACATATGAATTTAGAAGATATGGAGCTTGGAGATAGCAAAGCATAAACAAATCACTTTACCAAAGTTTTTTTTTTTGTTGTTGCTTTTATTCTGGCCTTTTTTATCTATATTCTTTGTCTCAAAGAACCTTTATTTTGATGATGATCTCTCCTCTGTCAAGCACATTCTTTTCTATAGATATATGTTTTTCTACGTCTCTGCATGAATTTTTCATATGAAGATTCATTTCTATGTTATTTCTTGCACTATCACCTGTATTATGATTAAGTAATATTTTTGATGCAATAAACACCACAATGTGAACATTACTAGCAGAGCATTGTCTCACAGAAAAGGTAACTTCCATTACAAGACCATCAAATCCACGGGATTATAAAGCCCTTTAAACATGAAGAGACATCTCTAGATACCATTGAGTGTGACCACAACTCTGCGTGCTGTTGGAGCATCACGATGTTCACATAACCATATTCCCTGAAACCCCAACATTTCCAACAAAACAAAATTCAAGATTAAAGTGAACTGTAACCAATGGCAGTTTTGTAAAAATATAAGATCCAGTTTCAAATCAATACTTAGAAGTACACACCATAAATGAAGAAACATGAAAGCAGGTGAATGTAGTAATGTATTAGTAAGTCAGACCGAAGAAACTGATTACCTGCCAAGTTCCCATGCCAAGTTTTCCTTTTGTTATTGGGATTCTGCGAAGACAATATAAAAGAGTTAATACAAATTGAAAATCCACAATAAAAATTGTGCAACACACAGGATCGTGACTCACGTGAGCTGACATCCAAACATGGATGATTTGATATGAGCTGGCATGTCATCTGGACCTGCAATTTATTCACATAATTCAATTCTCGACACATGAGATTATCATAAGAATTGCCATATCAAAATCACAATTTCAGAGGATAAAAGAAACAGCTTTGGATTATCACTGGTTTATAAATTAGCTTCCAGTTAGGAAACCAACAAAAAAAATTGGTAACTAGTAAACAAACCTTCCATGGTATGCCTCCAAGGAGCTGACCTCCCCTGAAATTCCAATCAATAAAAAGTGATTATTATTAATTCATAGCACCAAAGCGAAGATATTGAGAAGGCAAGAGCATACATACCTCAGGAACAATGGAGTTCAAGAAAGTCTCAGTATCAGCCTGAACATCAGGATCATAGTTCTCATTGATTGTAAGAGAAGCACTTGTGTGTTGTACTGCATAAATATCCAAGCTTTATATCATAAAAAAAAAAAACAAAAACAAAAAACAAAAGCTGAGAGATATTATTACACAGAGAGAGAAGGAAACTCACAGAAGACATGAGCAAGACCACAACTGAAACCTGACAGATCTTGTCCAATTTCCTTCACAATCTGTTTCAAAAAAAATCAAAACAATAAAACCACAGTAAAATAAAATAAGTCGGAATCACTCGAAGAGAGACCATAGGAGTGATGAGATGACATCCACGGCGTTGCGGTGGAAGAGTGATGGTTTTCTGAGCCCACTTTGGACCACCAGTGGAAGTCGACATGGAACCTCCTCGATCGGTTGCTGGAGTCAAAACTGATCTGACACGTAGAGAAGGAGGAGGAACACCAACACCAGAGAAGAAGATCGTTGAGCTCTGCATAGCTTTTTTGGTGTTCCTCTTAAGCCCAAATAAGAATAAGCCAACAAGATTCTTTGTTACTTCAATAACGAAACCATAATCTCCCAAAAGGGCCTTTCACTTTCACTATCGTCACCACTCTTTTTTTTTTTCTTTCTCTTCTGGGCCTTAGAATTATTCGTGTGGCTATATATCCAATTGGTAACAAACGGCGTGTAGTTCAGATCTTCTTTAGTTAAAATAAAACTACGTTCCGTTTTATGTTATGTATATTTCGCTTGAGAATCATGTCCGTCTTGATGATTCTTCAATGAGTACATACCGGGAACTTACGTTTTCCGCTGAGAAATCAATGTTCCTGTATTGAGATTATACTGAGGCTTGATATATATAGATCACAGCGCATGTTGTTATGTATTTCTCTTACAAAATCTAGAAGACATGTACAGTTCTAGCTAACTGTCAGTACGTAAGTTAGTAAAGACAAGAACAATAAGATTGTCTTTCTCTGTCACCATTTAAGCATTTAGATTTACTACTCTTATGCGTACGTAGTTCTATTAATCGGGATCAAAGTTGTTATATAATATCCCAAAACAATTATATCTCTTTAGCAAACCAAAAACAAAGGAAATATATATATCAATATCACGTTGTTCTAGTCAAATATGAAGTTTGTGATATATAGTCAAATAGTTGTCAGTTTCTTTATATTTAATTTTGGTAAGACTATGATACGTAACGATGCTATAATTGATGTGTGATCATCTACAGTATTACTAATATCCCGGTTTATCGTATATATAAAAATTGTTGAGAGGATTGATTTAGTTATTTATATCAACAAAATATGTTTACATTTTCTGATACATATCTAGAAAAAATCAGAATTAAACTTGTGTACACTGAAATTATAAAATGGTGGATGATATATCAGAAAGTGATTCGTCAATACGAATGAAATTAAAATAAGGAAAAATATCATGTGATGATTATAGGGCTATAAATAAAACTTTCGAACTCCAGAAAATTAACACTAACACATCGCTCATCAGACAAGATGGAACTCATGGACCAAGTAGACAGGCATGACTGGCCCATTCGCTGTGGACGTTTATACCGTTACATATTACTTGTTTTTTTTTGGCTAAGCTAATAAAACCTTCTTTTTCTGCCGGAAAATCATAGTTCAAACCTAAAATGATCTCGGATATATAGAACCCATGCTGTGACACATGAATTAGTATCCCGATGCACATGATAATTAACCCATCAATTACAATAATACAAACCATAAATGTTCTGACAATAATAACGAGCAAAAGGAAACAATGGGGACGAGAGTACACGTGAAACGAGACTAAAGGAGATGGGTTGTGGAACCCCAATGTTTATATGTAGGGTTTATATAGTACCGTCGTGTGCATCTCCCATTTCTCTAAACCTTTCATCCATCCTTTTTTAATTTATTCCCTTGCTTTCTATTATTTAAGGGAAATTGGGCTCTATAGACATAAAAAAACTCATAATATGCCCACTAGCCATTTAACCTAACGGATGTATACACACCGTTATAATTTGTTTTTAATACTCTTTTACCCCTTTCTTTACAACCGGTAAACCTTCTGAATAAAAAACTTTTTTAATTAAACTTGTGGAATGTAAAACTGTAAATCGTGGCTTCTCAGCCTCCACATGATTCACAGCAGTTATCTACTTCGTCGGCTATAGCACAACAGATTTTGCATCAGTTCGCCCCATATCCCGTCGCCTCAGCTTCGTCGTCTTCAGTTTTCCATCTACACCGTCCTCCGCCGTCACTCCGTCGCATCTCAGTTGCTTTTTGCCTCGTCGGTACCAGCTTCTCTCTCATCAGATTTTCCATTGTTTCCGTTTGGTGCTGCTACTCTGTCGCCTCTTCACCAAGTGTATGTCTTCTGCTCTGTTTTTTTATTGTTGCTTTATACTCTGACCTAGGATACTATAATTGTAAAATCCACCACCATATCGACTTTGCATGTCGGTCTGGGGCGCTTATTGTTCAAAACAAGTTCAATTTAAACTTGATTGTGGTTCCTAGTCATAACTGTGTGGAATATCGTCTGATTTTTAAGCTTCGTCTCTATGTATATATAGATAGTATGGGTGGTTCGCTAATCAATTCCATGTGAAGTAGAATTGATTCGACATGAAGTGGAATAGTATTATAAGAGACTTTCCGTGGTTATGTTTGNTTATTGTTCAAAACAAGTTCAATTTAAACTTGATTGTGGTTCCTAGTCATAACTGTGTGGAATATCGTCTGATTTTTAAGCTTCGTCTCTATGTATATATAGATAGTATGGGTGGTTCGCTAATCAATTCCATGTGAAGTAGAATTGATTCGACATGAAGTGGAATAGTATTATAAGAGACTTTCCGTGGTTATGTTTGTAATAGACTAGCTTTCTAGTACCCATTGTCTCGTGTTTTGTATACACTATGCTTTGTTATCGATCTATTCCATGTGAAGTGTAATAGAATAGTTTTAGATTACATAGCTGTCCCGTTGTATAGTATATTTTTTGATAGGTCTATTCCATGTCACATAGAATGAAATTTTAAGTATGTTCAACTCTAAATGGAATTTTAGATTTCTATCTTATGTATGAATGATTGGGGTTCTTAGTGATGTATAGATTATGTTGTATGTTGTATGATTGTGTGGAATAGCCTCTGATTTACAGCTTTGTCTTAATGTATGTATAGAGTATGGTGTATTGATTCCACATGAAGTGTAGTAGAATTAGAAGAGACGTTCTGTGGTTATTTGAAGTGTAATAGACTAGCTTTCCAATACTCTGGTTACTCCGGTGTCTCGTGTTTTGTATAAACAAGTATGATTTGTTAACGTTCTATTCCATGTGACGTGTAATAGAATAATTTTCAAATTCATTTGTGTCTCTTTCTATGTATATAGTCTTTTTTTGGTCGATCTATTCCATGTGACATAGAATGTTACATAAATTTATAACTTATACGTTTCCATTCTTTCTCTTTTTATTTTCTCAGTTTCAGGTTTGCCATGGACGAGACAGACCTTCCAAGAAATCACCATCTCACTAGAAATTACCTGGTTGTTTCTCAATACATTGAATCCTTAAATTTCTTCCTTTCTTTCTTTTGAGTTTCTTCTGATGTATTTACAGTGGTAATTAGACTGTATACAACATTTATTGATACAAGCAAGTACTAATCTACACCACTTGTTTAATGTTACACAATAAAAATATCTTTACTTGCTCCACCTAATTACGTGGCTTCATTTTACTCTTTAAAATGGAATAGCTGTAACCCAGTATTAAACATTGAACATTTATTCCATGGACTAAGTCATGTCATCGTCTGTGCTCAATGGCACTCGTCACCGTCTTTGTATTTATGCTTCATGCATAAGTATATGGAATAGTTTTAGATTACATAGAATAGACTCTCCAGAGTACATATATGTGTTTTATATTAGTATGTATATGATTTTGTAAAGAGAAACAATATATTGGATGTAAAAAGAATAGCATTTATTATGACATCAAAGGAAACAGAATAAAATGTGATGTTGAATGGAATGATATTCATATGATGTTGTCTATCTATTTTGTTTCGTTCTATTTGGGTTTATGGTCTATATTTGGGTTTAGGGTTTAGTGGTTAGGATTTAGGATTTAGTATTTGGAAGGGGGGTTGAGGTTTGGATTTAGTGACCTTATCATGTATTGTTCCATTTGATGATTAATAAAGAGTGTTTAAATTTGTTCACTAATATGTACTATTCTATCTATTTCGTTCCATTCTGTTTGGGTTTATGATTTATATTTGGGTTTAGTGATTATGATTTAGGGTTTAGTATTTGGAAGGTGGGGGTTGAGGTTTGAGTTTAATGATCGTATCATTATCGTTTCATTTGATGATTAGTTTATCGTTTAGTATTTGGAAGGTGGGGGTTGAGGTTTGGTTTAGTGATTAGTTTATCGTTTAGTTTTTGAATGATTGGAGTTGATATTAGATTATGATTTATATTTTTGTGTATGGTTTAGTGATTTGTTGATAGGGTTAAACTTTGTATGTTTGGGTTTAGGGTCTATATGTATTTTGTTCCATTCTATTTGGGTTTAGGGTCTATATTTAGGTTTAGGGTTTAATGATTAGGATTTAGGGTTTAGTATTTTGATTACTGAGAAGGAATTCCATCTCTGGTGGCTCTTTGTAGGGAAACCAATTTGTTATAGTAGCATAGTACGTGAGAGACTGCCATCATTTCTATTGGCAGTTGCCATGTCTCCGAGGTAGGTAAATATAAGTCTCTGGTATACTGGCGGATGGGTTTAATTCATCAACACTGTTGTCGTCACTTTCTTTGGGTTTATATTTCCTTAATTTTTGTTTAGTGTTTATAACGTTTTAAATGTTTTCTGACGTACTATTTGTAAAACACTTGCGGGAAGCTTAGTTTAATTTCAGAAAACTATGCCTTTCAATTGATGAGAGTTAATAAATGCAATCACAAATATTTGATAATTTAACTACTAAGTACTATGTTATATATTTTTTCCATTCCATGTGATGTAGCGTTTAGATGTGGTTTTAGGGTTCATATTTGGTTTTAGGGTTCACACTTTGGTTTGGGGTTCACTTATTAGAGATTAGGGTTTAATATTTAGTCGTTGTGGTGGGATCAACATTACCTTATGTTATTGGTCATGTTCTTATTCTGTCACCCGGTTGACATGTAGGTGTAACATTCGTACCTGTCATTGGGAATGGAATAGTAGTAGATGGAGTCATTCTATTCTACGTGAAATGGATCAGACATGTAAATATCGTATCTCATCGTCCTTTGAGTTGTGTTTTGTTCCATTCCATGTGATGTAGAGTTTATATGTGGGTTTAGGATTTATATTTGCGTTTATGACATCTTCGTTACCTTAAGATTTCATTAATCTTTGTTGGTTTAGTATTAACAAATAGGGGTTAGTGATTATGTTAAAGCATTACCGTGTTTCCTTGCATCATGAACATTTGCACGGTTGAAATAGTTAGACTATTTTATGTAGTATAGAAATACGTACCCGTAGAATAGGATATACATTCACGATCTTCCTCCAGTCGCCGTTAGTTTGTCATAGTTTCTGATATACTTGCAAATATTATTCAATGCTTTCGATTAATCCCTTTATATCATATGTGATGAATAAATCTCTTCCACACGTTACAATAGTTTTTTTATTACTATTATACCATAGAAAAAGAACACGTTGTTTACTTTATAATATGAACCGGTAACCTCTTCCTTTCAAGGGTATAACCGGTTGAAAACGAGGCAAAATAGCTAACATTAAATTACGTCAAAATCATGTCTAGTTCCCTAATTTATATGCCATACATGGCTATTTCGCCAATTAGCCCNCGTTACAATAGTTTTTTTATTACTATTATACCATAGAAAAAGAACACGTTGTTTACTTTATAATATGAACCGGTAACCTCTTCCTTTCAAGGGTATAACCGGTTGAAAACGAGGCAAAATAGCTAACATTAAATTACGTCAAAATCATGTCTAGTTCCCTAATTTATATGCCATACATGGCTATTTCGCCAATTAGCCCATTATTTAATCATACACACATACAGAAATAAAATCTTAAGGATTTTGAGAATCTATAATGGAGAACAAGAAAGTCAGACAAAGAGTACTATCTCACACAAGGAGGAGACAAAAGAACATATCAATAAGACTATTAAGAGTCTCATATACCTTTCTGGATATCACGATTGTGCATGGCTCTGTCATTTTGTGGGACGTCGGCTTCTATATATACGATCATTAATTATAGTAGTTTTCCCTGATTAGTAATTTGGTTTTTAATCATTATTTTGGTGCGATGAATGTATTTCAATACCATTAACGGGAGAGAGTGTCTCTAGTTATTTTTTTGAAACACAGAGTGTCTCTAGTTTTTTTCTGAAGTATTATGTGAAATACTTTTTTATTTAATTTATTATCCGTAAGGGAACAACTCCGTGATTTAATACTGGTTTTCTTTTGTTTGTACATATTGAAAGTTATTGCCTACATTCTCTAAACATCACAACACAATAATCAATAATCAGTCTAGAGCGTGCGTCTATATTATAATGTTTTTTGTTTGTTATTCGAGCCAAATCTTAAATTATTGTATCCAATCAAAGGTCCAAATAACAAAAAGAGAATGCGTTTTGTTTATCAATAAAGGGAATGAGTTGACGACGTTGAAATAAAGCTCGGTGTGATCAAAGAGACAAGTAAACAAAAACAAAAGCAAAAAGAGAAAGAGATCCGACAGTGGCACTGATTTGGAACCGGACCAAACACCGAAGCTAAAACCAAGACACTCAATCCTGTGGTTCTCTGTCTGGTCAAAATCGCACACTGCTTTAGCATGGAAGTTCACGAGGAACCGTACGTGCAATTGACATAACTGTGTACCTTTAAATTTTCAAGGAATTACAAAAAAAATACTCGAAACCATCGTAAAACGGTTTAGTTTGTAACTCTTTTCTTAATTAATAAAAATGGTACGAAATTAACTGAGTCAAGAAACGTCTACCCAAACTTCCTTTCAATCTAACCTAGGAAAGATACACTCCATATCTTATTAGTATCACCATTCTTGTTTTCAATTTAATTTTTTTTTTATTATTATTGTTTAAAATTTATTATTTCCCAATTTTAAATATAGCTGCCTTTATTGATTTGTAGGAATTAAATAATCTTAGAGCACCATTGTCCCAAAGGTTACGAAATTTTTTTAAAAAAAAATAATTAAAAATTTGGACTCTACCGAAAAACAAGAAATGCCTCTTCTGTGTCTAAAATAAGCAACATGTTTCCTTTGTTCTTGTACTATTTATGGGTTCGCCACGGGGTAAGTTGTTATTGATTAGAATTTAATTTTTTTTTAGACAAAAAAAAAATCCCTTATATGATGGAGAATCCAATTATATATATCTCAATAACCCATTAGACCAGGGTAATTAAATTGCATAATACATATTATACCCTTTAGGTAGTTTTACTTTTACAATGTGCATGAACTAAGACAAGAATCTTATTATAATATAACCACACCATACTGATCAACCTCACGATCTCAAAAGAAATATACTAAGCTCCTGTCCATAACTACCACCAGGATTCATCATATGAAACGACTCCGAGTCAACCGACCCAGTGACCCGCTCGAACCTCGCTCTCAAGTAAAGCGTCTGCTCCTCCTCATCCAACGGCACAACTCCAGCTCCTACCGAAACAGACTGCATCATCTTCAAGAAAACGGCGTCGTTCTCCGTCACTTTTCTCCTCACAGCAGACCCCATCTTCCTTCCGTTGCAATACATAGACCACACAGGAACGTCAAAGATCGACGATACTCGAGTGTTGCTGCTACTTCGACGACGGTCACACTCTAGGGCTATGCGTAGAACACCTGCTTGGTCCATCTCTTTGGCTAAAGCTGCCGTGGGAACAGCTAGCTCAAGGAGGAGAAGCGGAGGAGAACCCACGGAGGCGTCCTGAAGGCAGAAACTGACTCTTCCACGACGGTGCCCGAAGAAAGTTCCACTTACGATGCTGTTACTATGTGAGGAGGAGGAGGAGTGGTCTGAGGAGGAGGAAGAGGAAGAGACTGAGACGGTGTCGTTTTGGTAAGAAGGAGAAGGTTGTTGGTAAGTGCAACAGTATGGGAGCATACATTCGATGAGTGAACGGAGAGTTCGTCTATGACGGAGTTCACTGGCGCAGTCGACGGTCGTTGGAGTATTTATGGTTTGCATGCGATGATGATTTCTTTGCTTTCCTAAATCAACCATCGTTCTCATGGTTTCTTATTTTAGTTACTAATTTGAGAGGGAAATTAAAGAAAAGAGAATATTGTTATCTTTGGTGTGAAGACGAGAGGGAGTTTGGTGGCATATATGTATAGGTGGGTGGTGGTGGTATGCTCATGGAGAATGGCGACTTTTCTTTTTGTTTTTTTATTTTAATATTTTATTTACAAATGTTATTATAGTTATGCTTTATATCTTTTTCATTTTTTAATCTAGTGCAAATTTCTTAAAGCGATAAAATCGAGCTTATTTGTATAATTATTGAATATCGTGGTTTTAAATCCAACCACAAGATCATCGCGGTTTAAATATTGGGTAAAATTGGCATGCATAATGCATATAACTTTTCTGTTTAAGAAGTATTATTTATTTGCTTTCATCAAGAGCTCGTAAAAGTAACTTTTAAACCTAAAATTACAAATGTAAATTATCAAATTTCAAAAGTGAGTTAAAGTCTCCTGACCTGTTACCATACATTTATCTTTGTTGTAACCAAATCTTTCATCATATAAATCCTAGATAATAGTTTATCAATATCAAATAAATGTACATGAAATAAATGGTGATAGTCTAGTGGTGCCTGAAGATAAATCTAATACGGTAAATTTTGGTTTAAATTTCATTGGACATACGGGATATGTGTTATTGTTTTTAATTCATTTGAACATTTACGAAAAAATATCTATCCATAGGTTATATTTCCAACTGAGAATAAAAAATATTTTTAATAAATTCGAATTTAACATTTTTACTTTAAAAAATGTGCAGGAAAATAATAATATTACACAGGAAGGAGAAGAGGAAAGTAGCAGGCGGTGGAGGAAGGAAGGAGCAGAATTGGGGTCTACATGTTGTATTATAGGAAGAAGAAGGCCCCATTGTTAATGTAATATCCAATCGATGCGTTTGGAAGCAAGCGAATGCCCCAAAGGTGCGAGTGCGTCAGTGCAAGTGACACTTCCATCCATTTTCCTTTTTATTAGACTAAAAAAATTATTTTGATATTCTACTTTTGTTTCTTTCATAATCAACTGTATTAACATTATACTAAATTTATTCAATCATATCAAGAAGATAATCACCCTAAAACTCAGCCTTTATTTGCTCCACATCATTTGCTGATGTTGGAAACACACTCCGCATGCCATACTTAAAAACAAACTATTATATACCTACTCACCTTTTTGTAATATGTGTGATCGTTATTGATAAAATGGAATGTAAGCTCTCGAACTATACTGTCATCAGTCATCACTAGAAATATACATGCCTTTACCAAGAAAATGTAACATGAAAAAGGGTGTAACATGAAATAATGATGTAGGGCGCGAGGGGTATAAGAACAAGCATGCATAGAGCAATGATTAAACCAAATCATGCTCCGGTATTTTTTTATAGCATTTCGTAAGATGCTTTATTTAATCATTGCTTCTGAACTTTACATATCGACGCATGATAGTTTTGCATAGTGAATGAATTTGTAATACTACATTATTTTAACCTAGTTTGTAAGAAACAAACGCATCATAGTATGGTACCTGGAGAAATTAAATTTCAAAAACAATGTTCAATCTCTAGCTTTTTTTTTATATATAACTATTAATTTCGTACTACCTAATTATTAAGTTGTTGACTAATTTATATAGGAAGCTTCATATATCGACATCGTGAAATTTGATATTCATATATAACGACAATGCTTTTTATTAAGTTGTTGACTAGTAACATTTGTAATCTCGTGTAATAACTGGTAATACAACATGTGCACAAAATACTTACTAATCATTCTAAATAAACCTGATTTATTTCTGAAAATAATCATTTGACACTAGAATGATGGAATTGAGTTGCAAAAACATTAGAAACAATACATATTGTTGTTCTGTCATATTGCACTATTTCAGATATTATAAATATCTCATTCATATATTGATGATACAGTTTGATTACATGTTTAATTTATTGCATCTCGTTTATAATCAAAATTTCAAGAAATAATATGATTGTATTTGTTGATCACGAACGAAGATGATGAATATAATAAAACAATTATAGATAACTACATACACAAAAATAGATAAAAGCATATATGTCACCAGTATTAGTAAGACATCATATAGTCTAATCTCTAATAATTAAGTCCATAATGGAACAAGGTCGATTCTCTAGTCTTACTTAGGGTCCGACTGGTTTCCCCGCTACCACCCGCAAACGCAGCTTTTGCGGTTGATGGCGGTTGCTAGCGTTTTGCAACAATCACAAAAATCGCTACAAATCGCTTCAAACCGCTCTCAACCTCTTAAAATCAAAAGCTGGTTTCAGCTAGCGTTTGCGTTTGCGGGCGATTGCGGGTGGGTAAAAAAACTATTTTT